TTAAGAATTACCTAATTCAATGAATATTTTATTTATGATATCTGAAACAATGTTCTTAAGTTTATTCTCTTGTATTTTTCTCATACAGCTTTGGAACCAAGATTACTATGGAATCATAAAATGATATGGGCAGTTTTAGCTTTTCTTTATTTTCTGGAACACCTTGTAAGAGATTAGAAATTTGGTAGACTTTATTAGTAAAGCTATCTGGGCTTAGAGCTCTGGGAGAGATGCTTTGATTACTATTTTCTAGTCATTAATTGCTTTATTTTTCCATCCAAAATTTCTTCTTTTGCCCAAAATGCTATTATATAATTTCCCAGGAATTTATCCATTGAAGATAGGTTTAGAAATGTATCAAAGGGCCGGCACTGTGGTGTAGCGCATAAAGCCACTGCTTGTGGTGCCAGCATCCCATATGGGCGCTGGTTTGAGTCCTGGCTGCTCTACATCAGATCCAGTTCTCTGCTGTGGCCTGGGAAAGCAGTAGAGGATGGCTGCACCCATGTGGGAGACCTGGAAGAACCTCTTGGATCCTGGCTTTGGATCAGTGCAGCTCCGGCTGTTGTAGCTGTTTGGAGAGTGAACCAGCAGATGGAAGACTTTTCTCTCTCTGCCTCTACCTCTCTCTGTAACTCTGCCTTTCAAATAAATAAATCTTTTTTTAAAAAAGAAATGTATCAATACACATGCATTCATAATATTTAAAAGTAATTTCTAAAAGATTCTTTGCTTTTGCTCCCTGCTTTCTGTTTGGTATTTTAAGCATCTCATTTTTCTCCCATTCTCTTAGAAGATGTCTACCTCATCAGTCTTGAAAGAACCAGGTCTTGGTTTCCTGACCATCTGTACTTGTTCACTGTGCACTTTGCTGATTTCTATCACTATCCCCACCCCTGCCACCGCCCCGTCCAGCCTTAGGTTCATTAATGTGTCGGAGGCTTGGCCCGCACTGTGGCATGTTTGGGAGGTAGGACCTTTAAGAGGCGAGGCCCAGTAGGAAGTCCCGAGGTCAACTGGGGGCACTACTCTCAGAAGGGACTGTGCAAGCTCCATCTTGTTCTGGCTCCAGTGTTGAGATGTGATCCCTTCTTCCACAACCCATGTGCCGTGGAGCCCTCACCAGAGTCAGGTTATGCTGTTTGGGCTTTTAGCCTCCAAACCTGTGAGCTAAATAAACCTGCTTAATTCATACAGTTAGTTTGCCTTGGGCATTTCATTACAGTAGCAGAAGCTGACTAATTGTATTTATTATTTTATTTCTCCTTATATATCTGTCTTCTTTTTAATCTTTTTTGGTCTACTGCTGTTTATGCAATTTCTAGATTTCAATGTTTAGCTATTACAGCTAACTTTTCACATCTCCCAAAATGTACATTTAATGTACTGTTTGCAATATGCCCTAAAAGTTGACATGCAGGGGCCGGTGCTGTGGTGTAGCAGGTAAAGCCGCAGCCTGCAGTGCAAGCATCCCATATGGGCGCCGGTTCGAGTCCCAGCTGCTCCAATTCCCATTCAGCTCTCTGCTATGGCCTGGGAAAGCATCAAAAGATGGCCCAAGTCCTTGGGTCCCTGCACCCACGTGGGAGACCTGGAAGAACCTCCTGGACCCTGGCTTCGGATCAGTGCAGCTCTCACTGCTGTGGCCAATTGGAGAGTGAACCAGAGGATAAAAGACTCTCTCTCTCTCTCTCTCTCTCTCTCCCTCTTCTTCTCTCTGTAGCTCTGACTTTCAAATAAATAGATCTTTTTTTTTTTTTTTTTGACAGGCAGAGTGGACAGTGAGAGAGAGAGACAGAGAGAAAGGTCTTCCTTTTTGCCATTGGTTCACCCTCCAATGGCCGCCGCGGCCGGCGCACTACGGCCGGTGCATCGCGCTGATCCGAAGCCAGGAGCCAGGTGCTTCTCCTGGTCTCCCATGCGGGTGCAGGGCCAAAGGACTTGGGCCATCCTCCACTGCACTCCGGGGCCATAGCAGAGAGCTGGCCTGGAAGAGGGGCAACCGGGACAGAATCTGGCGCCCCGACCGGGACTAGAACCCGGTGTGCTGGCGCTGCAAGGCGGAGGATTAGCCTAGTGAGCCGTGGCCCCGGCCTAAATAGATCTTTTTTAAAAAAAGATGACACGCAGTGTTTTCATTGCCATTCAGTTCTAAATGTAATTTTTTGACTTTCCAGTCCACAAGCTACTTAATAACATGCTACTTAATTTTCAGATTCAAGCGATTTTAGAAATTGTTCTTTTGTTTTTACTTTCTAATTTTCATTAGTCTGAACAGTGTTTGATATCTATCTACTGATTAGTAATCTAAAACCTCTTTTATAGCCTAATTATGGCCAATTTTTTAAAATGTAAATGTGCTTGAAAAGAATGTTTATTTTTTGTTTGCTTGGTATAGAAAATTTTATACAACTAAGATACACAAATTGATATCACTGTATAACCTAGCCTGTTAGTTGCACCGCTTGGATTCTGGAGGGCTCTGACTTTTCTGTCACGGTTGCTTCCAGAGGGAGTACTGACATCTCTGACTACAGCTAATGTTGTTTCATGTGGACATCCAAGCTGGCACCTGAGAAAAGACAAAGAAGCTAAAGGCTCAAGGAGAGAAACAAAGATTCAGCTTTTCATTACTCATAGATGATATACCATGTAAATTAAAATTTATATAAAGTTTTTAGAATTAATGATAGTATCTAGGTAGCTGACAAAATAATTTAAATTTGCGGGGCCAGCGCTATGGTGCAGAGGGTTAACGCCCTGGCCTGAAGGGCTGGCATCCCATATAGGCACTGGTTCAAAACCTGGCTGCTCTACTTCCGATCCAGCTCTCTGCTGTGGCCTGGGAAAGCAGTAGAAGATGGCCCAAGTCCTTGGGCCCTGAACCTGTGTGGGAGACCCAGAAGAAGCTCCTGGGTCCCAGCTTCGGATTGGCACAGCTCCAGCCATTGCGGCCATTGGGGAGTGAACCACCGGATGGAAGACCTCTGTCTCTCTGCATCTCCTCTCTCTGTGTAACTCTTTCAAATAAATAAATAAATAAATCTTTAAAAAATTTGCATTTCTGTACATAAATGATAAAGAATTAGGACATGTCATTTAAGAAGCATTACTTATCAGAAGAACCAAGCATATAAGGTCACTAGGGGTCAGACAGGTGGAACAGAGATCACACCCAAGAATGGAGTATCAGGGACTGTGATGGTGAACACTGGAAATCACACCCGTGAACTCACTGCTGACTTTGTTCTGGTAGCCATACACAGCAGAGGGGCTACCATCCTGAAATGAGGTCTTGAGGTGGACACTCAGGCTGCTGGGTAGGTGCTGTCAGGACACGTGCACCCATGTGGAGTGCCTGGGTGTGAGTCCCAGCCCCACTCCTGCTCATGTGCACTCTGGGAGCAGCAGGTGATGGCTCAAGTGGGTGGGTTCCCATCACCCATGCGGGAGGCCTGGATTGAGTTCCTGCCTCCCAGTTCTGTGTGGCCCAGCCCTGGCCATCTGTGGGCATCTGGGGATGGGGAGAGAACCAGCAGATAGATGGGAGCACTTTTTATTTTATCTGTCTGTCTCTGCCTCTCCAATAAAAATTTTAAAAATCCCTAAAAAGGAAAATGTTTATAGTTGTTTACTGACATGAAAAGATGTTTGAAACATGTTTATGAGTTAAAAGAAAACCAAGAGATGTCAGAGAACAGCATCAGCATAATTCTAGTTATGTAAAATAATGCATACATGCCTATTTGCTTTATGCACTAAAAGGCTTCTGGCAGCAGGTTCACTAAGATACTGTGTATCACTTTCTGATGGGATTTTGGTGATTTCATGTTTGAACTTTTCTTTATAGTGTGACTCTCTGCCAGTGAGGATGTGGCATTTTTATTCTCAGGTAATGACGAATGTGCTGCTGCTTTTTTTTTTTTTATAGATTTTTATGTATTTATTTGACAAGTAGAGTTAGAGAGAGAGAGAGAGAGAGAGAGAGAGAGAGAAAGGTCTTCCTTCCATTGGTTCACTCCCCAAACAGCCGCAATGGCCAGAGCTATGCTGATCCGTAGCCAGGAGCCAGGTGTCAGGGGCCCAAGCACCTGGGCCATCCTCCACTGCCTTCCCAGGCCACAGCAGAAGGTTCCCAGTGTTCCCAGGAGAAGTGTTCCCAAGCATGGAATAGGAGCAACCAGGACTAGAACCGGCACCCATATGGGATGCTGGTGCCTCAAGTGGAGGATTAACCTACTGCGCTCCGGCACTGGCCCCTATGTGCTGGTTCTTAACTGGGGTAATGGTCACATAGATGCATCATCATCATTCTTCTGATGTACATTTCACTATAATGATATTTTAAAAGAACGTATCACTGATACAAGCAGAGAAAAAAAAACCATTTTTCATTTCCAACAAAATTGTGCTTTTTAGACAACAATAGGCGGGAAAAAATTCAAGAGTTGATATGTTGTAGATGGGGCTGTGGAAGAAACAGTTTAATTTGTATTTATTTATTTTTATTTTATTTCAAAGGGAGAGAGACAAATGCAGAGAGAGAGAGAGAGAGAGAGAGAGAGAGAGAATCTTCCACCCACTGATTCACTCCCTAAGTTATTTGCAATGGCTGAAGCCAGGAGCTGGGAACTCAGTCCAGGTCTCCCACGTGGCTGGCAGGAGCCCAGCTGCTTGTGCCTTCATCTGCTGCTTCCCAGGCTGCACGTGAGCAGGAAGCTGGGATCAGAAGTGGAGCCGACACTCAAACCCAGGCACTCCAATACGGGATGCAGACATCCCAAGAATCACGTGTCAAACAACCACCCTGAAAATCACATTTACATGGAACTTCTTACACTGCTATTTGGGCAATAAATACAAATTGGTCGGGGAAATCTGACCACGGAGTGGACAGGTCCACAGTTCCTTCTATCTGCGGACTGTGCTGGGGCCTGGAATGTCGGGCACACCCCCAAGACCCCATGAGCAGTGGTTTTAGTGACAAGGCCTCTAATTACCTGATCCGCACTCCAGAAGTAGAAGGTGAGGGAAGAGACACCAAAGAGGAGTCCTGGCCAGGGGATGTCCCCAGAGACGGGATCACGGAAAATGTGGAAAGCATCCGGGCGAGGGAGGTAGCACTCGGGTGTGGCAGTCCAGTTGCCATCACTGATGACACTGGGGATGGCATCAAAGTACTTATTCAGCAGCTCCTGGTATCCTCCCACTGCAACAAAGGCTGAAAAAGATCACACTCGTCAGCTCCTTAAACAGAGTGTTCACATACGACTGAAGAACCGAGATGGCAAAACCAGACTTACTGGGATTGGTTGTGTCTCATCCATAAAGTACATCAGAGTGACACAGTCCAGGCCTTATGTGCTAAGAGGAACAGGCCTTGGTGTTTGTGCGCCCAGCAACCTCTCTCTGCCTGCTTCTGGTCGCAGAATCTCTCTTTCCAGTTGGATCCCATTCTGGGTAGTTTGGGGGGATCCAGTCAAACTGCCTCCCATTCCAGTCCAGCATGGGACTTAGGCCTGGCCCACATTCCCTGTGTGCTGGGCAAAAACGGATATATGAGGACTGGACATGAGATCCAGGCTGGGCAAATCAGAATTTGCTCTAGGATTCTTCCGCTGAAGGGACTGAGATGACTGCTTCCCTCCACCAGGCTCTCAGGGACCATGATAATTTGAAGCTCTTACATCTACTTGGTTCATTCAGAACCCTGTTTTTTTTTTTTAATTTATTTGAAAGACAGAGTTACAGAGAGAGGTAGAGGCAGAGAGAGAGGTCTTCCATCCACTGGTTCACTCCCCAGGTGGCTGCAATGGCTGGAGCTGTGTTGATCTGAATCCAGGAGCCAGGAGCTTCCTCTCGGTCTCCCAAATGGGTGCAGGGGCCCAAGAACTTGAGTCATCTTTCAGTGCTTTCCCAGGCCACAGCAGAGAGCTGGATTGGAAGAGGAGCAGCCGGGACTAGAACTGGCACCCATATGGGATGCCGGTGCTTCAGGCCAGGATCTTGACCTGCTTCACCACGGTGCCGGCCCCTCATTCAGAACCCTGGATCTAGTTACGCCTGAATGTAGTGTGCTCTTGGCCTTTTTGGCTATGTGAACCAAGGAAGTATGTGTTTGCCTACACTAGGTTTGAACTATCACCACAAATTAGTTCAAGAATCTTGACTATGACATGAATGAATTTCATGCAATGCCAACAAGATATTTATAAAACTTCATTGTTGAATTTTTCCTCAAGAGTCTATGGCATTTCTTCCCCAATATCCGAAGTGGTACAAATTTTTAACATTAAAGGAAACATTTTTTTTCTAAAAGTCACTACTGTGCCTGTTTAACTAAACAAATAAACAAATTTTATTTGGCATATTAAACCATACTCCTTTGAAATAGCCTTGATAATCGAAATGGGTTTAGGGTCATTTGCAGCCACGACTAGTCAATGACAGGATACTGAGTAACTAAAAACTAATAAAGATACTTCATGGCATTTATAAAAGTAAAATTCATAAGGATTTTTTAAAAAGGTGAAACATGAAACTACTAAGGTATTAGAAGAAAATGGGAAAGTCTTTATGAAATTTGATTAAGGAATACATACTTTTGATTTTAAACAAATTTTTTTTTTTTAAAGGCAGAATGACATAGAGAGAGAGAGAGAGACAGACAGCGAGGGATCTTTCCTCTCCTGGTTCATTCCCCAAATGCCTTCAATAGCCAAGGCTAGGCCGGGCTGATGCCAGGGAGCCAGAGTTCCACCCAAGTCTTCCATGTGGATGGCAGGGCCCCAAGTGCCTGAGCCATCAGCAGCAGCCTGCGAGGGTACAGATTAGCAGGAAGCTAGACCTGGAAGTGGACTCAACCCCAGACACTCCATTATGGGATGCAGGCATCTGAAGTGGCATTTAAACTACTGTCCCCAAACCTACCCTGTGGTCTCCACTTCTAGTCAACACTATACTAAGGTCCTAGCCAGTGTAATAAGGCAAGAAAAACAGCAATTTTAGTCTAGGAAGGAAGGAAACAAAAGTGTAACATCTTGACCTGGATGATAGGTACCAGAGTGGTTTTACTTTGATCTTTTATCAGTCTTTGAACTCTGATTTGTGTACTTTTCAGTTAAAAAGTTTATTAAAATCTAAAAAGAGAAAAATGCAGCAGATCTCTACTCAGTGACATAGAAAATGTGACCGGAATATAGTACCAGTGGGAGAATAACTGGTTGTAAAACATTTTTTATTTAAAGATTTATTCATTTATTTGAAAGGCAGAGTTACAGAGAGGCAGAGGGAGAGAGAGAGAGAGAGAGAGAGAGAGAGAGAGAGTCTCCATCTGCTGGTTCACTCCCCAAATGACTTCAATGGCTGGAGTTACGCTGATCCAAAGCCAGGAGCCAGGAGCTTCTTCTGGGTCTCCCACGCAGGGTGCAGGGTCCCAAGCACTTGGGCCATCTTCTGCTGCTTTCCCAGGCTACAGCAGAGAGCTGGATCAGAAGCAGAGCAGCTGGGACTTGAAATGGAGCTCATATGGCATGCCGGCACTGCAGGCAATGGCTTTACCTGCTACTCTATGGCACTGTGGCGTAGCGGGTAAGGCTACCACCTGCAGCACCGGCATCCCATGTAGGGTGCCTGTTTGAGTCCCGGATACTCGACTTCTGATCCAGCTCTCTGCTGTGGCCTTGGAAAGCAGTGGAGGATGGCCCAAGTCCTTGGGCCCCTGTACTCATGTGAGAGACCTGGAAGAAGCTCCTGTTTATTGAATTTGAATCAGCCCAGCTCCAGCTAAAGTGGCCATCTGGGGAATGAGCCTGTGGATGGAAGACCTCTCTCTCTCTCTGCCTCTGCCTCTCTGTAACTCTGCTTCTCAAATAAATAAATGCATCTTTAAAAAATATATTATCTCATACATTTAAAACATTTGCATATGTGAACGATACATACAAAACATAGACCTGGTTGTCTCTGGGAATAGAACTGAGGCACTGGTGGGACCAGTATTTCACTGTGTGCCCTTTTGCTTACTTAAAATCAAAATATACTTGCATGGGTTCCCATAATGACGAATTTTGAAGGACAACATTCAATTGGATATATGATATTGTATACTTTAAAAAGAAAATGATAATTTTATTATTTTGTAAAGTTAACAAAAAGCTAACCAGAGAATTTAAATTAAAAATACCATTAAATTTCTCAGTGAAAAATATAGAATTATATAGAATTCTGCAATATTCCATTAAATGGAATATTGCACCAATTCTAAAGTTTATTTTATTTGGATGACATTATCAACTGGTGGGGTAGACTTGGCATGTTTCTAAATTTGTTCTATTTAATACTAGCACATAATTAAACACAATAGCGTACCGTGTTTTATAGTTTATAGCTCGTTGCTCAGTCACTGCTTCCCAGTGTAGTTAAAAATAAACCAATTACTTGGACTATGGTTGAAATGTATTTTGTTGTCCTAGCAACAGAGCACTGAGTATACTGCATGGAGTACTAATGGTAACTGAATGGTAAGACCAAGGACCAGTGATTCTATCTGTTCTCAGTCAGTGGGGCCCAAAAACATGCCCTGTGGAACCATAATCCTTCAGTAGTGCTCACATAGCATTCCAGGAACATTTTACCACCAGAGCCAAGAGCTTTTCCTTCCAGATGTCTGCAAGACCAATCTCTAACTTATGGAATGATGGGTGACACCAAGCTGTGAAGCTCATACTCTTGCGTTTGAAGAAACTTCCAGGTTAAGGTATCACCTGCCATTACAGGCACTGAAGTACGATAGCTCATATATTCAGCTTTGGTGTTAGGAAGATCCGGATCAGGGTGTGTTGTGCTCTTGGTGTGTCTTGTGACTAAGGTACTTGACTGAGATTCAGTTTCCTCATTTGTAAGATGAGGATAGCAAAAGTAAGCAGGCTGCTGGCAACTGATCCCATTAAATGAGGCAATATAGACAAACGCCTGTATGGTACCTGGTACTCAATTCATAGCAGCTATTATGTCATTGTTATAATTCAGTAAGTACTTATCTAGTAGGGACTTAATGCATCAGTTTGCATTTTGCATGTGTGTGGACACAATGGTTCTGGCTCTTTAGAAGTTTTAGATCTGGGGAGTATCATTTACTTATGTGAAGCAATCAGTGAGTGATTAAGATATGTACTCTGCTCCTCAGTTTTGGGTGGGGACTGGTTCCAGGAAGCCCCCTGGATGCCAAAATCCAAAGATGCTCAAATCCTTTATATGAAATGGCACATTGTTTGCCTATAATTCATGCCTCTCTTCCTGTAGAGTTTAAATCATCTTTAGGTTACTTACACTATCTAATATCATTAAAACACTATGTAAACAGTTATTATGCTGGATTGCTTAGGGAATGACAAGTAAGAAAATTCTGCAAGTGCTTAGGACCGGTGCAATATTTTCCCCAAATACTTTTGATCTGTGGTTGGTTGAATCCATAGATGTAGAATCCATGAATATAGATGGTTGACTGTATTTTAAAAAATGTTAAGTTGTGTAGAAGTGATGTGAGTTGAGGCCGGTGCCGCGGCTCACTAGGCTAATCCTCCGCCTAGTGGCGCCGGCACACTGGGTTCTAGTCCCGGTTGGGGTGCCGGATTCTGTCCCGGTTGCCCCTCTTCCAGGCCAGCTCTCTGCTGTGGCCAGGGAGTGCAGTGGAGGATGGCCCAGGTGCTTGGGCCCTGCACCCCATGGGAGACCAGGAAAAGCACCTGGCTCCTGGCTCCTGCCATCGGATCAGCGTGGTGCACCGGCCGCAGCGCGCCGGCCGCGGCGGCCATTGGAGGGTGAACCAACGGCAAAGGAAGACCTTTCTCTCTGTCTCTCTCTCTCACTGTCCACTCTGCCTGTCGATTAACACCCACATAATACTCTCTAATACGGACGTGATGTGAGTTGAGAGAAGAAAGATGGGTTGATAGAAGAATGATGGAATCACACCTCAGGGATGGCTCTTCCACCGACCCTGACAGCTGGGCTGAATCAGGTAGACCAAAGGGACCCTCTACTGGAGAGGAGAAGCATGAACAAAGGCACCACGGTGGGAACGAGTGTGGTGAACCAAAGCACTGGAGTCTCTCATCTCCACTCCTGCTCCTCCACTTCTCTTTCTACTGAAGTGAGCAGAAGTTTCCTTCCAATTTTTGTAAGACTTTCAATAATGACCTTGGCTTTAGAGGGCCACAGTCTCCTCAATCTGCCCCAGACAGCTTTAGCTTCAAAGATTCCACCCGCAGTCCCCGATCTTCTTCAGTTTACTTACCATAGCACATTAACAAAAATAATCCCACAACCATAATGCTAGCATGTAAACAATTGGCAAAAGTCACAGCTGCCAATCCACCTGAAAGACAGAGAAAGGAAAGTCCACTTGCCTGTGTCTGCTGCAAGTTGCTTCTGCATTAACCTACCTCACGTGCCATGTTTCCCCAAGACGTCACATTCAGACTTTCTATGCCTTTCACTCAGTACTTCTCACAGCTTATATTTAGGTTTGGTACATCCCGTTTTCTCTCTTGAACATCTTCAGGATCTTTTGAGGGATTCTTATCTTGCTTGCCTATGTCCCAGTTTCCCTTTGCTGCCCACTTTTTGGGTGAATAAAACCTGGAAGTGTTCCCTGGCAAAAATGGACATCTCTCATCACAAAGGTTCAGTTTGGAAGCAACAGCAGCATCTTTAGCCTCAAACTGCTAGATGCCAACAGTACCCCCTGGGCCCTGTTGTGACAACCACATCTCCAAATGTGACGAGATATACTCTGAGAAGCACGCTCCCTACCCTGATTGTCTCTACTTGGACTATGCCAGGGACACACTCCAGCATCCAAGATTTGTACCATGGCTGAAAAAAAAAAAAACACTGACAAGAGCTCCCATTCTCAAAACCTAGAAAGAGGCTGCCTAGGCCAGAAGTGCCTACATAAAATATTCCACCTGAAGGCCTGACCACACTCTCATCCCCTTCCTGTGCTCCCTCTCTGTTACTTGTTTGCCTACAGCGTCAGGCCCTGTCTGCCCCAAACACTATCACTGTTGTCTGTCAGACCCTACGCAGAGCCCCTGCTAGTGGTCTGATGTCTAGTGGTCGGACCACTCAGTACCCCAGCCTTGGGGATTTTCACTGTTCATCCCCCCTCAGACCTCGGCAATGTTATCTACAGACGTGGGGAAATGCAAAAGCTGGAGATTGCTGCCTCCTTGTCTTCTCCAACTTCACGAAGCACTCGAGCATTTCTATCATATACATCCCTGCATGGTTACAGCAACCTCACCTGTGATGGTGTAAATGCTAGCAATGGCCAGCAAGACCAGAATGGCCAGGTACACGTCCATGCCCAAGATCATCCTCAGGAACATGGCACTGTGGCAGATCTCCAGCTGAAATGAGTACAAAGTCAACAAGCTGCACTTCTATTTCCAGTTGAATCAACAAGGAGCCCAGAAAGAACTTGACCTTGGAAGCTACTTGCGAGAAGTCATCTTTGGCTACCATGTCCACTCTATCACCAGTGGGCTCTAAGTGAGACCTACTCAAGTTTTGGGCTCTATGAGTCTAGCCAAGGTCAATACCTTCACGTTAACTCACTCAATTAACACAACGTAGCCTTTTCCACCCTGGAGTCTCAGACAGGGATGGATGCTCAAAGAGTTGTCCTTACAGTCCTGCCACCGGGAAGAGGCAATGGGACAGCTTCTCAGGAGCCAGTGAGCCTTCTCTGTAAAGGGCCAGATTGCAAACGCTGTCACCAGCCGCAGACCATCTCTGCTTTTCAAAAGCCTTGACAGCTGTAAAAACCAACCTCCAGCTGAAGGGCGGTATAAAGCAGCTCATTAGCTGGATTGGCCTGCGAATGGGATTTGGTGACCCCCAGCTTAGTGGGCACTGATCTCCAAACATCTGCACATCATTTATCTGGCTAGCCTCTTGTTTTGTGATCCTGGTCTCCAAAGCCTGGGACCCAGTGGGCAGAGGTTCATCTGTCCACTCATTCACCACATGTTCACTGAGTGCCAAGACACTCAGGAGTCAGAAGACGCAGGGATGCTGCCACTCAGTTGCTGTCTTCAAGGAGCTTGTGTTTCATGAAGGAAACAGCAACAATACATTCTCCTCCCTCAGTTATTCAGAAACATGTATCTATCCAGCGCCCTGTGTGCTCAATGTGTGCTCAGCATGGGCCTTAAGCAATGAACAAGCCGGACCAGGTCCTTGGTTTCCAGAAGTTTGCACTGCAGTGGAGACTACAGACAATAAGTAAACAAATCATTTACTCTCACCTGGTGTAAGAATGACTAAGACAATCGAAACAGTAATGGAATAGAAACTGACCAGGCACATCCTTGGGAGGCCTCTCCAAGGAGCTAGTTGTTTCTCCTCCAAGGTGTGACAAAGAGCCAGTCACCCAGAAATCCAGAGAAAGAACATTCTAGACATGCTGCAGGGCTGCCTCAACATCTACTTCACAGGGCTCATAGGCTCTCTTCTCACCAACATCTGTAGTTTTATTATTTACTTCTTCCACTCAGCTTCAACTGGAAATAAACTTACTGATTTGAGAGACTCAAGAGGGCAGGCAACATGGCTAGAGTAGGGCGAGGAAAGGGGAGGAGATAAGGGCCCTGGGCCAGAGAGGCAGGTGAACACCCTTGAAAGACACAGCAAGGGGTTTAAGTTTTCTTGTAAGGCTGATGGTAACTTCCAGGTTGTTCCTAGTACATCACCTAAGGACAAGGTCAATTAGTTGCAGACACCACAGCATTTGGGCCAGGCCCATCTAATGATATGAGATGGGGGAGGGCAAGGAGCTCTGGGAATACAGAGGAGAGACCTGTAGCTTATACATCTGGTACAGCCACGTATTATTGAGGTATTTTCCCTCTTCTGTGGCTTAGTCAGCAGAGGCCGACAAGTAATTTATGAGGTCTCAGAGTAAACTGCTAGAATAAATCTAGCATGATCCTAAATCCTGCCTTCTGATTTACTTTTAATTCTCTTTCTTGGGCAGTCTTTTGCATAACTCACCGAGATCCTATTGAAGACATAGAGGAATAAATACAGAACAGAGATGAGAATCTGGATCCGGAAGCTCCCAAACCTCTTCCTCAAATATTCTGGCAATGTCACCACCTGTACAAACAATGAGCGAAGTCACCATCAGACAGCGAAGGCAGAAGAGGCAGATCCATGGGAATGAAGCTGGCTCACTGAGTGTCAGAGATCCAGCCAATGGTGGGCAGGGCCTAGTGGTTGCCGCCTGTGACACCTGTTAAGATTGGAGGGCTAGGGAAGGTGAGGCAATATCATTGTCTTCAAGAAGCCTAGCACCCAGCTTTCTGTGCAATATGCAAAATGCAGAAGGGAATCCAGCTAGTTGAACACGTCTAATGAGGACAGACACTTGGATGGAACAGTCGCAGAGCCAGAGTAAGGGCTTTGTCACATAGAACAAAGATAGCACAGGCTATCAGGGAGACGAAACTTGACACAGCCTTCTGACCTGGGCTCTGTGCCAGCAGAGCTATGATGCGCCAAACGACCCCTCTCTGTTTCTCCACTGTCTCGGGCTGTGAGCAGCACAAGGGCTGGAACTGTGTCCTCTCTGTTCGTTATGCTCAATGGCCTTGCAGACTGCCTGGCTCGTGTAGGTGAGTAAACACTCGGTGAGTGACTGTCATTGTGCCTTTGGCTTTGTCTTTGTGGGCTCCTGTCTGCGGGACTCTGCATGTAGTATTTTCAGTGCTAACTCAAATTCCGTCTGCTTTAAGACTTTCCTGGGGGCTTCACAGTGACCATATACCCTCTTCTGAACACCTACAGCTCTTATTATTCTCACTTTCCACTTGGCTCAAAATTATGTACTGCCCTAAATGGCTCACTGTCTCAAGAAGGCTCTAGGATTCTCAGCTGTTTTATGCTTAGTACACACCCTATGCTGCCAGGGCTGCTGTAACAAAACAGGACATGCTGGACGGCTTAAACAACAGACATGTATTTTCTCACAGTTCCGGAGGTTGGAGGTTCAAGGTGCTGACAAGATTTGCTTCTTCTGAGGGCTCTGATGGAAGTGTCATGGCAGGCAGACTCTCCTGGCTTCGTGGCAGGTGTCTTCTTCCTATGTCTTCACATCATCTTCCCTCTGTGCTTGGCTGTGCCCAGATTTCCTCTTCTTTCAATGTCATATTGGATTAGGGCCCGCATTTAAATGGAATTACTTCCGTAAAGACCTTATCTCAAAATATGGTCACATTCTGAGGTGGCTCTCCTGGTCTTATGGCTTCACAATGGCAAAGGTTGTACTTCAAGGCAAACACATCTTTCAAACTTAGACCACCCACTCCACTATTTATTTTTAAAATTTTAACAGTGTGTGTCAACGCATCATTTACAGAGTGAGGTTCTCCCATTTTAAGTGTACAGTTGGATGAGTTTGCATAATGTTTAATCATTACCATATGCACAAGAAAAAGCATTTTTAACATCCCCATAAAGTCCCCACAAAGCCACTTGACTTTTCAATTGAGGCCTTCCCTCTACCTTGGTCCCAGACGACAGGTGTGAGCTGTCACCACAGATCTGTCTTTTCTAGAAATTCAAACATAAAGGCTTACACAAAATGGATCTTCTTTTAGTCTAACTTCTTTCACTTGGCATGATCCTGAGACTCATGCATGTGAGGCATGCCTGCACTCCTGTGCTGAGTGGTATAGCATACCCCATGTTGTTCATTCTGATTGCAGTTTAGATTCTTTCTAGGTTTGGCTATTATGAATAAAATTGCTATGAAACTTCATGTACAAATCTGTGTGTGGATTAGGTTTTGGTTTCTTGGGAGTAAAGGCCTAGGAATAGAATGGCTGGGTGATAAGGTTTAATTTGTTACGAGACTGCCAAATCGTCTTCCAACATGACTAATGTAGCTCAAGACACATACAAGCTCCCCTCTTGCTCCACAACCTCTCCAACTCTTGGTAGTTTGAGTCTTTTTGTCCTCGCCATTCTAGAGGGTGTATACTGTAAGTATTTTTAAATTCTCTGTATATAATGATGTTTTGATATCTTAAAAAACCCTTCTGGTTGGCAGACTGCCCTTCTCATGAGCCAATTCTTAAAGACAACAAAGGCAGGAACACGCCTTTGAAAGGCAAACTAACCAATCCAGAGTCAAACTTCCCTTCTCTGGCCCATGCACACCAGGACACAATATTCTTCTGACTTAATTATCCCAGGAACAGGTGCCAGGCAACCAGAGACCAACCCTCCAGTCCAAAGCCCACTAACATATCTCAAACTAGCCTTAATTGTGCATTCTTCTGTGTCTTGCCATTCCTGCAGAAACCCCAAAAAAGACAGTGGCCTAAACCCCTCCCTTTACTCCTGTCTTCTGCCTCCTGAGCACTCTGATGTCTTTCACCCATGGCCTTGCATGGCGTGGCCTGCTGTGCCTGATGTCTTGAGGACCTCTGAGTATAATTTGATTCATCAGCTTTTCATTACTTTTCATATTGTATGAAACAGCTGACACAGGCTACCTATGGAGGAAAGAGGTTTATTTTTGCTTAGGGTTCTAGAGGTTCAAGTCCAAGACTGGGTGGTCCATTGGTTAGGCATCTATTGAAGCTGGAGGATGTGAAGTGTGGAGGAATGACTACATGGTGAGCCAGGAAGCAGGGAGGGGAAAAAGGAGAGGGAGCCAGGAGAGAAACAGAGAGACAGAGAGAGACTAGGCCTAACTCAGCTTTATACAACCAACCCTCCTGTGAGAACTACCTTTTGAGGGCATGCTGCCAATGACTTAATGACCTCCCACTAGGCCCACCTCCTAAATATTACAATTGGATTAAATTTCTACCCTCTTAGTATCATTAACTTATGACTTTGGGGCTTAAAGTCCAGTGTAAGTTTGGGAGCCAAATCATGTTTAAACCATAGCAATGATTAACTTTTCTTTTTTCCTGAGCCTCTACTGAGTCTCCTCTTGAAGCTGCACCCAACCAGCACATAAGAATATAAATGAGTGTGGACTTATATCTTACTGGATTAATATTTTCCTAATGGCTAATAATGGCATTTTTTCATGTGACTTTGCCATTTGCATTATTTTCTTCAATGAAACATCTGTTAAACCTTCTTCTTATTGAGTTGTGAGCTTTTAAAAAATATAAAAGTAAGAGCAAGCATTTAGTGAAGTAGTTTAGATACCATATCCCACATTGGAGTGTCTGAGTTCAATTTCCAGTTGGAGCTCCTGACCCCAGCTTCCTGCCAGTGCAGACCATGGGAGGCAGCAGTGTTGGATCAAATTACTGGATTCCTGCTACCCATGCAGGAGACCTGGATCGTGTCCACCTCCTGACAGCTGTGGGCATCTGGGTAGCAAACTACTGGATGGGAGCTGTCTGTGTCTCTATCTCTCAAACAATAAAAAACATGAGTGTATTTTCTGGATATGTGTTTTATTACAGATAAACTGTAACCTACCTCATCCAATAATTCTGCTTCAAGTGTTGTTCACATTTTTAAAAGATTTATCTGAAAGGTAGACTGACCGAGAGAGAGGGAAGGAGAGACAGAGTGAAAGATCTTCCATCTGCTGTTTCATTCCCCAAACAGTCACAACAGACAGTGCTGGGCCAGGCAGGAGCCAGAAGCCATGAACTCCACCCTAGTCTCCCATGTGGGTGGCACAAACCCAAGTGCTTGGGCCTTCTTCCACTGCCTTCACAGGAACATTAGCAGGAAGCTGGATTGGAAGTGGACTAGCTGGGACTTACACCAGCTATTCCAACATGGGATGCTGGCATTGCAAGTGGCAGCTTAACCTGTTAAACCACAACACTGGCCACAAAGTTTTGTAAAAATATTTCCTCCTAGACTAGCTTATCTTTTCATTTTCTTAACAATAGCTTTGAAAGAGTAAAAGTTTACATTTCAACTAAGTCCAATAAATATTTCTTTCTTTATCGTTTGTGCTTTTTGTGTTGTTAAGAAATTAGTAGCTATTCAATCACCTTGATTTCTGAAGAATGCTTTCATTGGATATAGAATTCTTGGTTGACAGTTTTTTCTTTCTTTCAACATTCTGAATGTGTCATTCTAATGATTCCTGGTCTCTGTTGTTTCTGATGAAAAGTCAATTACTAATGGGTTATTTTTCTTTTACTGCTTTCGATGTTTTCCCTTGGTTTTGGCTTTCAGCAGTTTAACTATGTTGAAACTAGGAGAGACTTCATGCTTATTTTAATAGGTGTTTGTTAAACTTCTTGGATCTGTAAATTAGTATTTTCTACCAAATCTGGGAAATTCTCACTCATTGATCCTTCAAAACATTTTTCCTGCTTCCTTCTCTTGCTACTCATTCTAGAATTCTGATTACATGTATTTGGACTGCTTGATATGGTACCACAGGTCTCTGAGTTTTTTTTTAAAGATTTATTTATTTATCTGAAGGTCAGATTTACAGAGGGAAAGGGAGAGGGAGAGGGAGAGCTAGAAGCTTCATCTGGGTCTGCCATGTGGGTGGCAGAAGCCCAAGCACTTGGACTGTCTTTCACTGCTTTTCCCAGGCCATCAGCACCCATATGGGATGCTGGTGTCACAGGTGACACAGCTTTACCTGCTATGCCACACACCAACATCAAATCCTGAGTGTTATTATACTAAAATTATCTTCTCTTCTGCCATCTTAATTCTTCTGTTAAGCCCACTTGTGAATTTTTCATCTCAGTTCCTCTGTTTTCAACTACAGAATTGCCATTTAGTTCTTTTCTGCAGTTTTGGTTTCTTTGTTGCAGCCCCAATTTACTCATTCATTAACATCACGTTTTCCTTTACATTTTGTCCATTATTAACATCTGGACCCCTACAGAACCAGTTTCTATTTATTGTTTTTTTTTTTTCTGCTGGAGGGTATGTTGCAATTATTTCCTCCTTTCTTTGTATGTCTAGTAATTTTTTGGTGGAAAGCTGGCCATCATAGATAATATAATGTAGCACTTTGGAACCTTATTTTGTTCTCATTGGGATTGCTATTTCTTGTTTCAGTAGACAATTAACTTGTCAGAACTCACACTGCAAAATCTTCCAAGCCATTTCCTCCACGTCTGTGATGTGCAGAGCTCATGTTTCTGCCTGCTTTTCAGCTTCCAGTTGCTTGCTAGTTTAGCTGCCCTCAGGAGGTTGCCTCTGCACCTGTGAGGTTTGGTAGTCAGCCAAGGATTTGGGCAAAATTCACACCTAGATTGGAGAGTTAACCCTCTTTTTGGTTCCCTTATTTGTGGATCTCTCCACTACATTTTCAGATGCTTTGCCAATCCTCAATTCTGTCCTCTGATAACTCAAACCAGAAATACTTCTGCCTACACTGTATGGGTTGGGGCATGTAGTCAGTTAAAGGCACAGTAAACTCACAAAACTCACCAGGTGGAGTTCTGTCTTTCACACAAACCTCCCTCTTTTTTTTTTTTTTTTGACAGGCAGAGTGGACAGTGAGAGAGAGAGACAGAGAGAAAGGTCTTCCTTTGCCGTTGGTTCACCCTCCAATGGCCGCCGCGGCCAGCGCGCTGTGGCTGGCGCACTGCGCTGATCCGATGGCAGGAGCCAGGAGCCAGGTGCTTTTCCTGGTCTCCCATGGGGTGCAGGGCCCAAGCACCTGGGCCATCCTCCACTGCACTCCCTGGCCACAGCAGAGAGCTGGCCTGGAAGAGGGGCAACCGGGATAGAATCCGGCGCCCCGACCGGGACTAGAACCCGGTGTGCCGGCGCCGCTAGGCGGAGGATTAGCCTAGTGAGCCGCGGCGCCGGCCCAGACCTCCCTCTTGTTCCTTCCTTTTTCTGTTTGAGTTCTCCAGGGTCTCATATATGCACATGTGTGTTAGTGGTCAGTCAGGGATCTGGGATTTACAAGTTTTATTTAAAAATCTTCCCCATCTCAAGGACACAGATATTCTAGGCTTTCTTATCAAAGTTAAAATTTTTGTCCTATTTAAGTCTTTGATAAATCTAAAATTATTTTTGTAGGGCTCCAGTTTTGTTTATATGATAATTACCCACCCCTTCTGGTCACAGTGAACTGCAGGGCCATCAGTGTTGTGGGGAGCAGCTCGGACTAGACTGTTACTGGAATTAAGACTTATTCTATGCATCTGCTCTCCCACAATATGGCGCTGGGAGAGAAGTAAACAGCTTCCGCACAGCTGCCTCCAGTTCAACCAATTAACTGTAGGACTTGCTCCTGATTGGAGGAGAGCAGCGTACTCGGCGTGTGGGCAGCCGAGTTGGGATTGGCGGAGGAGGACTATAAAGGAGGAGAGAGACGGCATGCACCAGGAACATCTATGGGGAACATCTAGCTGAAGGAACACCCGTGCAGCCCCCGAGAGAGCCGGCTGGCGGTGTGCCGCTCCCCTGCGGAAGTGGGGAATGCGGCCAGGGGGAACTGCCCTTCCACGGATGTGGAAGGGATAGTAGCCAACCCGGGAAGAACCAGCAGCAAACCCGGGGAGGGCCGAGCAGACGAAAGAACAGCGCAGGGTCCTGTGTTGCTCCTCCACGAAGAGGGGGAGCGACAAGTGTCACAAGTCAATGTCCACAGCTATGAGTGTTTTTGTACTTTCCCCTTCTTCCACTTGTCAGTGAGCCAATTCCTGCGACAATATTATATGGCATTTAATATTACAGATTTATAGTAAGTCTTGATATTTAGTAGGGCAACTCTTTCTTATTTTCCTCTGATAGGCATTATCTTTGCTATTCTTTTTTTTTTCTTGACAGGCAGAGTTAGACAGTGACAGAGAGACAGAGAGAAAGGTCTTCCTTTTTCCATTGGTTCACCCCCACAAAGTGGCCGCTATGGTCATAGTCGGCTGGCGCGCTGTGCTGATCCAAAGCCAGGAGCTGGGTGCTTCTCCTGGTCTCCCATGTGGGTGCAGGGCCCAAGCACTTGGGCCATCCTCCACTGCACTCCCGGGCCACAGCAGAGAGCTGGACTGGAAGAGGAGCAACCGGGACAGAAATGGCACCCCAACTGGGACTAGAACCTGGGGTGCTGGTGCCGCAGGTGGAGGATTAGCCTAGTGAGCCATGCCGCTGGCCCGATCTTTGCTATTCTCACACTTTTTCTCTTCTACCTATATTTTACAATCAATTTGTTGAGTTCCTCAAAAAAAAAAAAAAATCCTGTTTGGATTTTGTTTGGAATCACATCCCATGCACAGACCAATATGGAGAGAAGGAGAGAACAGATCTTTTTTTTTTTTTTTTTTTTTTACTTTTTTTTTAGTAAATATAAATTTCCAAAGTACAGTTTATGGATTACAATGGCTCCCCCCCCCCCATAATTTCCCTCCCACTCGCACCCCTCTCATCTCCCACTCCCTCTCCCATTCCATTCACATCAAGATTCATTTTCAATTATCTTTATATACAGAAGATCAATTTAGTATATATTAAGTAAAGATTTCATCAATTTGCACCCACACAGAAACACAAAGTGTAAAAAACTGTTTCAGTACTAGTTATAGCATTACTTCACATTGGACAACACATTAAGGACAGGTCCCACATGAGAAGTAAGTACACAGTGACTCCTGTTGTTGACTTAACAATTTGACACTCTTGTTTATGGCGTCAGTAATCTCCTTAGGCTCTAGTCATGAGTTGCCAAGGCTATGGAAGCCTTTTGAGTTCGCCGACTTCGATCTTATTCCAACAGGGTCATAGTCAAAGTGGAAGTTCTCTCCTCCCTTCAGAGAAAGGTACCTCCTTCTTTGATGGCCCATTCTTTCCACTGGGATCTCACTCGCAGAGATCTTTCATTTAGGTCTTCTTCTTCCTTTTTTTTTTTTTCCAGAGTGTCTTGGCTTTCCATGCCTAAAATACTCTCATGGGCTCTTCAGCCAGATCCGAATGCCTTAAGGGCTGATTCTGAGTCCAGAGTGCTATTTAGGACATCTGCCATTCTATGAGTCTGCTGTGTATCCCACTTCTCATGATGGATCGGAGAACAGATCTTTTCAAGGTATTATATCTTCCAGTCACTAACATATAGTTGGCCCTGTAAATGAACAAGTTCTACATCTGTACATGGAACCAACTACAAATTGCATACATACATACATACATGTGTGTGTATATATATATACACACATACACACACAAAATTGCATCTGTATTAGACATGTATAAACTTTTTCCTTGTCATTATTCTCCAAACAAAATAGTAAAACAACTATTTGCATAGCATTTACTTTAAAAAATTTATTTATTTGAAAGTCAGAGTTACACAGAGAGAAAAGGGGAGGAGGGAGACACACACACACACACACACACACACAGGTCAGTCTTCCATCTGCTGGTTCATTCCCCAGTTGGCTACAAGGGCCGGAGCTGTGCCGATCCGAAGCTAGGAGCCAGAAGCTTCTTCTGGGTCTCCCACATGGTGCAGGGGCCCAAGAACCTGGGCCATCTTTTACTGCTTTCCTAGGCCATAGCAGAGAGCTGGATCAGATGTGGAGTGGCCGGGACTTGAACCAACGCCTACATGGGATGCTGACACGGCAGGCGGTGCTTTATCCATTACACCACAGTGCCAGCCCCTAGCATTTACTTTATATTACATTTTATTTAAGTAAGCTGGAAATCATTTAAAGCTTTCAGGAGGATGTGCACCGTGTATAGCATATAGACAAGCACTCTGGGATTTTCCAAGATCAGATGAGATCGGGCGCATTCAGGGTGGTATGGCTGTAGACTCTGAGATTTTCTATAAGCAATTTGAGGCTCTGCTGCTCCCTCCATAGTGGGGAGGGAGTGCGAATCTTAGCACCGTTGCTGCATGGATACTAAGGGACTATTGTAGTTGTTCGCTTCATTTTTTTTTAATGTTTTTTATTTGACTGGTAGAGTTATAGACAGAGAGAGAGAGACAGAAAGGCCTTCCTTCCGTTGGTTCACTCCCCAAATGGCCACTACAGCTGGTGCTGCGCTGATCCGAAGCCAGGAGCCAGGTGCTTCCTCCTGGTCTCCCATGCAGGCACAGGGGCCCAAGGACTTGGGCCATCCTCCACTGCCCTCCTGGGCCACAGCAGAGAGCTGGACTGCAAGAGGAGCAACCAGGACTAGAACCGGTGCCCATATGGGATGCCAGCGTCACAGGTGGAGGATTAACCAAGTGAGCCATGGTGCTGGCCCTCTCCATTTTTTTGAGGTCTGATTCTTTTTTAAAAAATATTTATTTTATTTATTTGAAAGGCAGAGTTACAGAGAGGCAGAGAGAGAGAGAGAGAGAGAGAGAGAGAGAGAGAGAGAGAGAGAGGTCTTCCATCCGCTTGTTCATTCACTAAATGGCTGCAGTGGCTGGAGCTGCTGATCCAAAACCAGGAGGTAGGAGCTTCCTTTGGGTCTCCCACGTGGGTTCAGGGGCCCAAGGACTTGGACCATCTTCTACTGCTTTCCCCATGCCAGAGCAAAGAGCTGGATCAGAAGTGGAGCAGCTGGGACTTGAACTGGCACCCATATGGAATGCCGGCACTGCAGGCAGTGGCCCCACCACTGTGCCACAGTGCCGGCCCCAAGGTCTGATGTTAGAAATGAAGTTTTAAAACATTTTCTATACAGGCCTGAAGAAGTGGACTCCAATAAGGTCCAGAGTGAAACAGCAGACAATTATTGCCTTCTGTTTACTCAAGGCAGAAAGGAGACCTCTCAGGCATTACGGAAGTTAGTACAGGCATCAAGAGGCAGAAATTTACCTCGCCCTCCAGGACATTTTTAGTACACAGGCAATTTGTGGAAGACAACTACTGCAGAGAACCCCGTAACTGACAATGAGCACTCACCTCAGCCTTGATGTAAACAGGAAGAATCACCCAGCCAAGAACACAGAGCTGAATTACAGACTGAAACCGAGAAGAACAATTGCTGAGTCAGGTCCCATCAGGCAGCTCCTAAGTCAGATGCAAGCTCATTAGCATTCGTTACAGTGGGACCTCAGAGAAGCAGGCCCGGCATGCAGTGCCCAGCACCATGAACCTAACTTAAGGGCACAGCACGATCTTCGTGATAGGAGGGTCCATTCTGGGGGACTCATTAATACCAATTTTCAAGGTTATTAGATTTGATTTATTATTTTCCTAATTCCAGAAAGGAATAAAGGTAGCTCATAATTAAATTTGAAAGCTAGATTTCAAAAAAGAGAAACAAAATCAGAACCATTCCGTGAAAAAGAGAGAAACGATACCAAAATTTCATGCAATTGATATGAAGTAATGAGTTAGGCTCTGACTTTCTCTACAAAGAAAAGGTACAATGAGTTGAATGTAAGAGGACAGGAGACGTCTGAAAATTCTGGGAGGTGTATGGTGATAAGAACAAGGATCCTTATTAGGTTTTCACTCTTTGCTCTTTATAGTCTCTAAGAAATAAGATGAGGCTCAGAGAGTATGGAGTTTTCAGATTTATCAAAAAAAGCCAAATGATTTATAGAGCGATTAGTAACACAAGACTGACAAATTATTTATAATCCAGACTTCCTATAATAAATCTATTCTATGAAGATGAAATAAATCTAACATTCCATAAAATTTATGGTTGAAACCTGGTATTTCTGGAAGATTAATTAGGAGATCTGTAGTAAACATTTAGATTTGTAGCTGAGTATCTCAAAGTGCTTAGCAGAGCCCATTTTTGATACACTGTGCAAAAGACAAAACATACACATACAGATATATGTGTATATATCTGTACATACACACATAATATAATTAACATACACAAATGTACATATATGCATTTAATTAAATTTTGAAATCATGTTTTCTCTACCTGACTAATATCCTAGCATTTGTTTCTTTTTTTAAGGTTTATTTATTTATTTACTTGAGAGCAGAGTTACAGGTAGAAAAAGAAATTTATATATAAATATATAAAATATATACATATATATTATATATTTTATGTAATATTATATATATATATAGAGAGAGAGAGAGAGAGAGAGGGAGAGAGAGGGAGAGAGAGGGGTCTTTTATCTGCTGGTTCATTCCCCAAAAGGTCACAATGGCTGGAGCTAGGCCAATCTAAGCCAGAAGCTTCCTCTGGGTCTCCTACATGGGTGCAGGGGCCCAAGCATTGGGCCTCCCTCCGATGCCTTCCCAGGCCATCAGCAGGTAGCTGGGTCGGACATGGAGTAGCCGGGACTTGAACCAGCGCCTAAATGGGATGCCAGCACCACAGGTGGAGGCTTAACCTACTACACCACAGTGCTGGCCCCAGCAGTTGTTCCTTTACTGTCTTCCTATAGCCTTGGAATGTAAACTTGACAATCCTTTTGAAAAAGAAAAAAAATGTGGTTCCTTTGCTCTGTGACTTCTCAAGAAGTCTTCAATATTTACTCCAGGTTGAAAGTTTTTTTTAAATGTTTGTTTGTTTATTTATTTATTTATGTGAAAAGCAGGGTTACCAAGAGAGATGGAGAGAGAGAGGGAGGGAGGGAGGGAAGGGAGGGGAGGGGGCAAGGGAGGGAGAGAGAGATATCTTTCATTTGCTAGTTCACACCCCAAGTGGTGACAATGACCAGGGCTGGCCCAGGCTGAAGCCAGGATCTTCTTCCAGTTCTCCCATGTGGGTGCAGGGCCCCAAGGACTTGGTCCATCTTCCACTGCTCTACCAGGCACATTAGCAGAGACCAGGATGGGAAGTGGAGCAGCCAGGACTCAACCAGTGCCCATATGGGATGCCAGCATCACAGGCAGTGGGCTAATCCCCTATGCCACAGTGCTGGCCCCATGTAAAGTGTTTATGTATATGAGTTTCAGCTGGACAATGACAAAGGTGAAGGGTGATTGCTGTGAAAGAGAGCTACTCACGATCCACTGGAAGGTACCAATAGCAATCCCCGAAGCTGCTCCTTTCCAAGGCAGGCCCATGAAGTGACCACTGCTGATATTTGTGGCGTAAAGGGACGCACCTATCTGAAAAACAAGAGATGATTACATATCATAACTATTAGTCCATCTGTAAGAATACATTTTTCACAAATGTAAATTCCCATGAAACTTCACATTTTCTCAGAAGGCATTAATCCCCTGGGTACAATTCCCATTCCTGCTGCTTCTATACAGCTCCAACCATTAATTAGAAGACAAGTGAAGAAGCAGAAAGTGAAGAAGATAGCCTGACTGCCTTCCTTTTAGACAGAGCAGACAGAGCTCCACCTGCTGATTGACTCCATGAAAGCCCACAGCAGCCAGGACTGGCCAAGCCAAAGCTGGGAGTCAGCAACTCACTTCAGGTCTCCCATGTGCGTGGCAGGAACCAAATGACTTGAGCCATCACCGCTGCCCCCCAGGATGTGCACAGCAGGAAGCTGGGGTCAAAAGCCACAGCAGTGTTTTGAACCCAGATACTCTGGTAAGAGATGTGAGCATCTTCACTGTTACCCCACACACCTACTCCAGACAGCCAGTCTTATGCTGCCATTCTCCACAGTGTCCACTGATGTATTTGCATGTGACTTGTTTGAAATAATTAAGAAATATTAATAACCTTATTATCTGTAAGACACTAGTTAAAACAAGGTACATGAATATGATGAAATACAATGTAGCATACAAAAATAAGGTAGCTCTATTATGTGACAAAAATGATAATACATACTACAAATCTCATTAATTCTACATGTCTATGACACTTGTGGACACATTTAGATATGCAGGATAGTGATTTTGGCAGTATATAGAACAAAATTCTTCTGGGGACTAGAATTATGGTTATAAAGATGAAGTAGGGAGAAAATTTCAAGTTCTGTACTTGAACTGTAACATTTGTTTTGTTACAGCCAGCAACTGTCACATTCAAAATAAAAGAAATTCCTAGAGGCATTTAAAAAGGAACAAAATACCTCCCAAGGCAATAATAACTTTCGAATGGAGTGGAAGTAACCACTCCATTCAAAACCAAAACTTGGCACCTGTGTTGTGACGTAGCAGGTGAGGCTGCTGCCTGTAATGCTGGTATCCCATATGGGTGCCAGTTCAAGTCCTGGCAGCTCTACTTCTGGTCCCACTCCCTTAGGAACTGGCCTAAGTGCTTGGGCCCCTGCACCCTTGTAGGAGATCCAGAAGAAGCTTCTGGCTCCTGGCTCCCGACTGGCTCAGATCCAGCCATTGTGGCCATTTTGGGGGTGAACTAGTGGATGGAAGAGCTCTCTGTGTCTCTCCCTCCCTCTCCCTCTGTAACTCTGCCTTTGAAATAGATAAACAAATATTTCAAAAACAAGCAAAAAATCCAAACCCGACTCTTGGGGCTGGTGTTGTGGCAGTGAATTAAGCTGCTGCCTGTTAACGCCAGCATTCCATATGAACACTGGTTTGAGTTCCTGCTGTTCCACTTATAATCCAGCTCCCTGACGCTGCGCCTGGGAAAGCAGCAGAAGATGGCCTAAGTACCTGGGCCCCTGTCACCCATGTAGGAGACCCAGATGGAGCTTCCGGCTCTTGGCTTCAGCCTGGTCCAGCCCTGGCTGATGTGGCCATCTGGGGAGTGAACCAGTGGATGGAAGATCTTTTTCTCTCTCTGAAACTCTGCCTTTCAAATGAAAAAGAAAGAAAGAAAGAAAACCTTAAAAAAATCACAAAAAATAAATATTATGCTTTTGATATGAGACACATGTAAAACTAAGTTATTAAGAAAGGTTGAGGGGCCAGTGTTGTGGCGCATTGGATTAAAGCACCAGCCTGAAGTGCTGGCATCCCATATGAGCACCAGTTTGAGTCCTGGCTGCTCCACTTCTTATCCAGCTCTATGCTTTGGCCTGGGAAATCAGTAGAAGATGGCCCAAGTCCTTGGACCCCTGCACCCGCGTGGGAGACCTGGAGGAAGCTCCTGGCTCCTGACTTCGGATCGGCCCAGCTCCAGCTGTTGCAACCATCTGGGGGAGTGAACCAGTGGATGGAAGACCTCTCTCTGTCTCTACCTCCCTCTGTAACTTTGTCTTTCAAATAAATAAAATAAATCTTTTTTTTTTTTGACAGGCAGAGTGGACAGTGAGAGAGAGAGACAGAGAGAAAGGTCTTCCTTTTGCCGTTGGTTCACCCTCCAATGGCCGCCGCGGCCGGCGCACCGCGCTGATCCGATGGCAGGAGCCAGGAGCCAGGTTCTTTTCCTGGTATCCCCATGGGGTGCAGGGCCCAAGCACCTGGGCCATCCTCCACTGCACTCCCTGGCCACAGCAGAGAGCTGGCCTGGAAGAGGGGCAACCGGGACAGAATCCGGCGCCCCGACCGGGACTAGAACCCGGTGTGCCGGCGCCGCTAGGCGGAGGATTAGCCTAGTGAGTCGCGGCGCCGGCCAATAAAATAAATCTTAAACAAACAAACAAAAAAGAAAGGTTGAGGGGCAGGCATTTAGCGTAGCAATGAAGATGCTGCTTGGGATGCTCACATCTTATATTAGAGTTGGACTCTAGCCTTGCAACTGCAAGAACTTTTTAAAAAAATATTTATTTTATTTATTTGAAGAGTTACAGAGAGAGCTAGAGCCAGAGAGAGAGAGAGAGAAAGAGAGGTCTTCCATCCACTGGTTCACTTCCCAGATGGCTGCAACAGCCAGAGCTGGGCTAATTTGAAGCCAGGATCCCAAGGGCTTTGGCCATCGTCTGGGGCTTTCCCAGGCCATAGCAGAGAGCTGGATCAGAAGTGCAGCAGCTGGGACTCGAAGTGGTGCCCATGTGGGATGCTGGCACTGCAGGTGACAGCTGTACCCACTATGCCACAGCGCCAGCCCTGAGTGTCTTTTTTTTTTTTAAGATTTTTATTTATTTATTTGAGAGGTAGAGTTACACACAGAGAGAGGGAAAGACAGATAGTTCTTCCATCCGCTGGTTCACTCCCCAAATGGCCCCAAGAGCTGTAGCTGAGCCATTCTGAAACCAGGAGCCAGGATTTTCTTCCGGGTCTCCCAAGTGGGTACAGGGGCCCAAGCACCTGGACCATCTTTTACTGCTTTCCCAGGCCACAGCAGAGAGCTGGATTGGAAATGAAGCAGCCGGGACTTGAATTGGCACCCATATGGGATGCCGGCGCTGCAGGCCGGGGCTTTACCCCACTATGCCACAGGGCCGGCCCCCAGGTTTCATTTCCAATCCAGATTCCTGGTAACACACACCTTGGGAGGCAGCAGATGATGGTTTAGGTCGTTGGTTCTCTACCCACCATGTGAGAGATGTGGACTGAGTTGCTGGCTTTTGGTTCTGGTCTGGCCCAGCCCTAGCTGTTGTGGATGGAAGCTCTCCCTCTGTTCCTCTGCCTTTTAAATGAAAATGCAAATTTTAAAAAGGCTTCAAACAACAAAGCCTTTTAGGTGAATGAAAACAAAAGAACATAGCACTGACAATGTTAATACAAGATAAAAGTATTATGCAAGAACAAAAGCATTAAACAAAATAATTTTTAAAAAAGATTCATTTATTTATTTGAAAGGCAGAGTTAGAGAGAGACAGAGAGAGAGAGAGAGAGAAAGAGAGAGAGGTCTTCCAACCACTGGTTTACTCCCCAGATGGCTGCAATGGCCACAGCTGCGCAGATCTGAAGCCAGGAGCCAAGAGCCTCCTCTGGATGTCCAATGCAGGTGCAGGGGCCCAAGGACCTGCGCCATCTTCTACTGCTTTCCCAGGCCACAGCAGAGAGCTGGATCAGAAGTGGAGCAGCTGGGACTCAAACTGGTGCCCCTATGGGATGCTGGCTCTGTAGTTGGCAGCTTTACTGGCTATGCCACAGCGCTGACCCCAACAAAGGAATTTTTTAAAAATAATTATCCAAGGTAAAATGCACGAATTAGACATAGTTCAGAATATGCATGTATCAAATGGGAGTAAGTGGGCATGGGAATAAGTGCTGTGGAGGTCACTGGGGTTCCTGGCAAACATGGGTTCCAACATGGGTTCCACTGATACCTATCAGCTATCTGCTGGTTGAATAAAAATACAAAAAGAAGAGTGATAAGGTTTTTCTTTCATTCCAATTTCCTTTAAATATGCTACAATACAATTTATTCATTAAGCAGCAATTACATTGAAAAGTCACAGCAAAGAAAATAATAAATTGTAACACTGATATGTAAATACTGGGAACCATTAAACTGTGTTGATGTCTTTTGAAAACTCCCTCAAGTGTCTCAATCTTGTAAGACACAGGATGGTGGTTCCCATTTTTCTGGGTACTGGAAACATGACTTTAAGGTCAAAGACAAGTTCAGACAAAAGACTAGAAATGGACTGGTGTGGAATAGCAGGTAAAACGCCACCTGTGATGCCATCATACCATATGAATGCCGGCTCAAGTTCCAGCTGCTCCACTTCCTGATCCAGCTCCCTGCTAATGTGCCTGGGAAAAGGAGCAGAAAATGGCCCAAATGCTTGGGCTCCTTCCACCCACGAGGGAGACCCAGAAGAAGCTCCTGGCTCTTGGCTTTGGACAGGCCCAGCCCCAGCCATAGTGGCCATCTTAGGAGTGAGCCAGCAGATGGAACCCTCTCTCTTTGTAACTTTGACTTTCAAATAAATAATCTTAAAAAGAAAAAAAAGACTGGAGGCCTTGTAGCCAAGGAAGAGATCCTGGTGATAAGGGTCCTCATCCAAATAAATAAATAAATAAATAAATAAATAAAGTAGGAGTCCCACATTAATCTCTTCCTCAACTGGGTTTACAAAGAAAAAAAATTAAAGCCTAAACCAGAAAGCTCACACCAGGAAAAAGCATTTCCTCAAAGCTCCCAGATAACTGGGGAAGGCCGTTTCTTTAGGTTGTTTATGGCTGCACTTTCCTCTTCCCTCAAAGGAAGGCAGTCTGTCCTCCCGAGACCGGGCTTCTCTGCAGGAGAAGTTGCCCCATGTGAAAACCGTACACGTGCCACAAGACTTCACATCTGAGGCCAAAGAATAAACGATTAAACAAGGGCTTGGTTCTTGCACAATTTCCTATTTGTACCTTACATTCTTATGTGGACACCATGTGTAGATTTTTACATAACAATAATAAACTGTAAAGATGGCTCAGGCTTGGCACAGTTCCCATCTTTCTCCCTAGGATGCCCCCTGACCCCTACCCATGGACAGAAAGCTGCTTGTACCGCTGTGGGGACTGTGAGTCCCTCTTCTTGGATGGAATAATTCTGTATAACAAATAAATATTTAATATACAAACAAAACATATTTCTAGCCTTCTACCCTGCCCCCACCGTCAGCACTGTGCTATTCCACACCTCCATGTTTGGCCTCTTTTGCTCCCATTGCTGGAATGTCCTCACACTTCATCTACCTGGAAAACAGCTACTCCACCTCCAAATCCTGCTCAAACAACCCCACCTCTCCAGGACCTTTCCTATCTCTCAGTAAGTGTTCCCTCTACCCAGCAAGCCTGAGTTTACCTGGGCACCTCCTTTCAGACTCACTGTGCGGTACTGATTAATGTATTCTGATTGGACCAATATGCACCTAACTCCCATTCCAGAGGGTGGAGTTACCTATTTTTTTCTGTGTCTTGAAACTTAGAATAGCACCTTATACTTACTGGGTACCTAATAAATGGTTATTGAACTAAACTGAGTTGACGAATGGAAATATTTAATTAAGAAACTTGAGTTAAGGGAAGGGCTGGCACTGTGGCATAGTAGGCTAAGTCTCCACATGTGTGGTGCCAGCATCCCATATGGGCACTGGTTCTTGTTCTGACTGCTCCTCTTCCAATCCAGCACTCTGCTTATGGCCTGAGAGATCAGTGGAAGATGGCCCAAGTCCTTGGGCCCCTGCATACTTGTGGGAGACCTGGAAGAAGTTCCTGGCTCCTGGCCAGCCCAGCTCTGGCCATTGTGGCCATTTGGGGAGTGAACCAGCAGATGAAAGATCTCTCTCTCTCTCTCTGTCTCTCCCTCTCTCTCTGTATCTCTACCTCTCAAATAAATAAATAAAATCTTTAACAAAAAGAGTTATGGGAACTACTGATTAAATGGCATTTCAGATTTAACAACTTAAAATTATTCTAAGTAAAAACATGTAAATTAAAGTAATAAACAGCTAAGATGTGGCCCCCAGAGTGGAATGCCACATGTGAGGCTTGCTCACCGGGAACCATGTGAGATTTCGGCTAGCCAGGAAGAAGTCTCCTATTGTCGCACGTCTGCGGAACAGCACAGCCTAAAATACAATAATAATAATAATAATAAATCCCAGTGGAATACAAGAGACTAAACTGCTCCAAAGACACAGGTCTCTTAAGGAGATGGCCTTCATTTAGCAAATCCACACCTCCCTTCTTTCATTTGAAGGACAGAACCCATGCCCCTGAGTTGAGACCCATGCCTCTGGCTGCAGAGCTGGAGATACAATCTCTTCCAGCTACAAGACTGCATGGCCCTGTCTCTTCCTCGACATCCCTTAAGGACAAAACTGCTTTAAGTCTTTCTCCAAATAATTAGCCAGTGCCATGGTTTCTGGCAAAGCCTGGGAGGGAAACAGTTTACTGAGTGTGTAGATCAATCAGGAATGGCAAATCCAAATACGCACCTCGCTTCTTCCAGGGGGGAAGTTACATGGCCATGCCATGGTCCTTCCAATGTGTTCAGTTGTTCTCTATTCAGGGGCCCCAGCTCTGACTCCCAGACCTGCTAGGGCCAGAAGACAATGCTGGGACTCTCCTGGATTTCCCAAGATGAGTTATGACCTAAAGAGGACAGCTGGTTGATAAAACTGTTTTTCCGTAGAAAAAGCAAAACTGCCACCACCAGGTGTCTGCATTATCCTCTCTTTCTTTTTCTTTCTCTCTTTCTCTGTTTTATTGTATTTATTTGAAAGGCTGAGTTAGAGAGAGAGAGAGAGAGAGAGAGAGAGAGAGAGAGAATCTTCCATCTGCTCGTTCACTTCCCAGATGGTCACAACTTCTGAGGCTGGGCTAGGCTGAAGCCAGGAGCCAGGAGCTTCTTCTAGGTCTCCCATGTGGGTGTAGGGGCCCAGGTCCTGGGGCCATCTTCTGCTGCTTTCTCAGGTCATTAGCAGGGAGCCGGATTGGAGGTGGAGCACCCAGGACTGGAACTGTCTGCTGTATGGGATGCTGGCACTGTAGGTGGCAGTTTTACCAACTATGCCACTATGCCCATCCCTGTCTACATTTAAGCAGGCAATCTCTTCATGTCATAAATCCTTAAACTAAACAAGTAACTTCTACACATATTAAGTTAATCTTACTTTATCCACTCAGAAAACAGTTATCCAGGGCGTACTATGTGCATAGCTCATTTTTTTTGAAAGGCAAAGTTAGAGACAGAGAAAGATCTTCGATCTGCTAGTTTAATCCCTAAGTGGCCACCCCAACAGCCTGAAGCCAGGCCAAAGCCAGGAGCCTGGAACTCCATCTAGGCCTTCCACATGGGTGCCAGGGGCACAAGTACTTGGGCCATCCTCTGTTGCCTTCCTGGGTGCATTAGCAGGGAGCAGGATGGAATGTGGAGCAGCCTGGACTCAAACTGGTGCTCATAGGGGATGCCAGCGTCGCAGGTGGTAGCTGAACCTGCTGTGCCACAGTGGCAGCCCCCATAGCTGATTTTTAAAATTTATTTATTCATTTCATTTGAAAGGCAGAGAGAAAGAGAGGGACAGACAAGGAGAGAGCTCCTATCTTTTGGCCCAAATGCCCACAACAGCTGGGACTGGGCCAGGCTTAGGCCAAACACTCTATGTCTCCAAAAGATCTTCTAAAGAAAGGTATCAATAATGTGTTGGTAGAGGCACATTAGAACTTTAAAAAGGAATTTACAAAATATTTTAAGACAAAAGAAATTGCTTTCTGTTTCCATTGGAAAAGCACCAAACAGGGGCTGGCATTGTGATGTAGTGGGTTAAGCCACCACCTGCTGTACCAGCATCCCATACAGTCACCAGTTCAAGTCCCAGCTGCTCCATTTACAAGACCGCTCCCTGCTAATGGCCTGGGAAAGCAGCAGAAGACAGCCCAGTCCTTGGGCCCCTGCATCCATGTGGGAAAGCTACAAGAAACCCTTGGCTCCTGGCTTTGGCCTGGCTCAACCCTGGCCATTGCAGCCATTTGGTGAGTGAACCAGTGATGGAAGACATCTCTGTCTTTCCCTCTCTCTGTGTAAATCAGCATTTCAAATAAATAAAATAAATTTTAAAAGAAAAAAAGCACCAAACAAGAAGGAGAGATTCTGGGAAGAAGGTGACTTAAGCACATGCCCCTGACTTCTTCCTTATTTATTTATTTATTTATCATTTGTATGTATCTCATAAATACAACACTATGTACATAGTAATTTTTCCCACTGTACCCACCTTCCCGCTCATTCTCCCCTGCTTCCTGCTCCCTCCCATGTTTTATCTGAGAAATAAAAATAAAAATAAACGAATGGCATAAAGAAAACTGAGAGAAGTGTTCCTCAACAGTCTATACAAGGGCTGATAGATCTTTTGGAACTCTCAGACATAACTATTACTTATGAGACATGATAATATCCTCCTTTTAATATATTAAAAGAACAAGTTTTACTATTGAGCTTCATGGTACCACTCTTTGTGAGACAGAAGTCCTTTGTGGGAAGTTAGTGCACAGTGACTCTTGTTTATTTAACAAATATGACTCTTATGTATGATATCAGTAGTCACCCAAGGCTCTTGAGATGATCTGCCTCCCCTATGGAAGCCTTTTGGATCCACTAGCTGTGCAAGGCCATCAGCAAAGTTCTCTCCTCCCTTCAGAGAAAAGTACACCCTTCTTTGGTGGCCCCTTCTTTCCACTGGGGTCTCACCCACACAGGGGTCCATTATGCAGGACATCTTTTGCCCAAGTGTCTTGGCTTTCCATGCCTGATATGTTCCCCCTGGGCTTTCCAGCCAACCTAAAGTGCCTTAAAGGGCTGATTCTGATGTTGGAGCCTCCATGCTCTCTTTCTGGAAAATACAACACCACAGCAGCCAGGCTGATGGGGTGGAAAATGCATCCAACTTTCTCTAAGATTTCTGGGCTGAAATTATTAAAGAGAAAACAAACAAAAAAAGTGCAAGGCCCCCATGCCCTGGGTTAATATCTTTTAAAGCCAAGGCACCAGTGGCAGAGTAAGACTCCCCAGCCCCTGTGGGGCTCAGCAGTCAGAAGCTTATGAATGTTTTCAGAAAGGAGGCCCAACTGTGCAAACGTGGACACTTCTGGCCTGTGGGAAGAGGGCGGTTTGTTTAATAATGGGAAGAAAATAAATTAAAACACCTCTCATCTATCATATAATAAAGGTAAATTCCAGAGGGTCTGAGATTGAACCACTTAAAAATCTATAAAAATGTTATTAAAATTTTTAGAATAATATTTGTGCAATCTTGGAGTGGGAAAAAATTTCCTGAGCCAGGAAATCTAGAAGATCACAAGGAAGAGAAAAATAATTGACTTCTGCAAGATGAATAAAATTTCTAATATCAAAAAGACACTATTAAGATCAGTGGTTCTCAACCAGGGGTGATTTCCCCACCTCCTTAGGGAGCATCTGGCAACATCTGGAGACAGCTTTGACAGTCACAAGTGGGAAGGGATCAGGTTCTAAATATCTTACAATGCACTGACAGACCCTCCACCACAAGGAATTAAATATCTAGCCCCAAATGCCTGTTAGCCCTGACGCTTGAGAAACACTGATCTAGACAAATGACAGTTTGGGAAAAACATACTAACAATTCAAATAACAGACAAGTTACCAAAAGTCAAGTGAAGCAACGGGATGAAAAAATGCACAAAAAAGGGCTGAGTGGTTGGCCTATGGTTAAGATACCAGTTAGGATGTCCACAACCTACATCAGAGTGTCTGGGAATGAGCCACAGCTCCGGCTCCTGACTTCACGTTCCTGCTATTAAAGATTCTGGGAGCCAGTGGTGATGGCTCAAGCAGTTTGGTTCCTGCCACTTGGGAGACCTGGATTGAGTTCTAGTTTCCTGCCTCTCCCACCCTCCCCAGCCACTGTTAGGAATTTAGGGAGTAAACTAGCAGATGGGAACATACGCTGTCCCCCCAATCACACATTTTACATTTTCAAAATCTCTGTCTGTCTGTCTGCCTCTGTCTGTCTGTCTCTGTGTGTGTGTGTTTATATGTGTATGAGACACTTCTGACCCAGAAGTTGCCATTTTTTGGAATCTATGCTACCCAAGTTAATTGTGCCAACACATCAAACAAACTTGGCAACAATCTAAAGTGTCTATTAGTAGGAAAGAACTGAATGGTACACGTTTGCATGACTCTTATGCAGCTAATTAAAACACGAGCTACATATGTATCTACTCATTTGTAGACTCTCCATAACGTATTAACTGAAAGTAAGCTAAAGCATAATGTGTATGAAATGATCCCATTTTGTGTGTGTGTGTGTGTGTGTGTGTGTGTGAGAGAGACTATAACTCACAATAGCACTGAGAAAGAGAAGGAAGGATACAGGACTCTGGTTACAGATGGATGAGGATGGATGGGGGAAAGAATAACTTATTCTTTCCATATTTATGGATTGTTTACTTCTCACAGTGAGCAGGTAATATTGTGTAAGTAATCATACCATACATGATTTTTATAAAGAGCCAAGGGGGCAGGTATTCAGCCTAGTGGTTAAGATACTGGTTGAAGCTCTCTGCTGTGGCCAGGGAGTGCAGTGGAAGATGGCCCAGGTCCTTGGGCACTGCACCCCATGGGAGACCAGGATAAGTACCTGGCTCCTGACATCGGATCAGCGCGGTGCGCCAGCCGCAGCGCGCCGGCCGCAGCGGCCATTGGAAGGTGAACCAACGGCAAAGGAAGACCTTTCTCACTGTCTCTCTCTCTCACTGTCCACTCTGCCTGTCAAAAAAAAAAAAAAAAGATACTGGTTGAGATGCTCATACCTCGTATCAGAGTGCCTTGGTTTGACTTCTGCCTCCAGCTTCCTGACAATGCAGACCCTGGGAAGCTGCAGGTGATGGCTTAAGTGTGTGGGTTCCTGACACCCATGTGGGGGGCCTAGATTGAGTTCCTGGCTCCCGGCTTCAGCTCAGCCCAGCCTGCCCACTGGAGGCATTTGGGCAGTGATTAAGCAGTCAGGAGCTCACTTGCTTACTCGTTCTCTCTCTCTCCCTCTCAAATAATACTATTTTTTTTAAGAACCAAGGGAAAGAAAACATAAAGAAGGAAAGGGACCAAGGAATTCTGGGTATCTATGCATGTTTCTGGGCTCCCAGAACAGAAGGGACAGCAGGCTTCCTTTGGAAGTGACCAGATGACTTACTCGTCCTCTGACCTTGACCAGATGTAGGCTCCATGTAGGGCCAAAATCAAGTTGTGTAGGATTCCCAATTCAGTAAGAGGACTAGGGGAGGATCCCCAAACAGATGTCCACAAAACAGCTGTTCACTATTCAGAGTCCCTGCCTAGGCCACCTAGAAGGTGACCAGTGAGGGGGAAAAAAATCACTTGAGTCATCTGATAAATAAACTGGCTTTTCCCTTCCTACTTGGAATGAAGGGCCTGTTTTCTCTTCTGGTACTTAAGTCCTGTAATAGAATGCAGTCCATGTCTCCTGCACTGTATCTGCCTGCTAGCAGTGGGTCCACTGTGATGATGTAATCCTCAAGACTGGACTTCAAGGGAAGATCCTGTGCGTGACCTGGTGAGACACCCCGAAGTGAAGGTCATCAGGGCAGAAGCTGTCCCAGTGGTAGCCATTGGTGGCACTGTCACCTACCACTCCTGCCTGGTGAGGCAGGCCAGGCATGGGCTACAGAAGGGCACCTGGGTTTTGCTCAGTGGAGCTCCTGTGACACCACTCAAAGCTGTCACAGCACCTAACCTAACTTTATGTTGGAACATGGGCAGTATCTGGGCCTGGGTAGAAGAGTTCAATGACATCTTTTTGTGTGCTGGCATGTTAAGCTCTGGTATAAGAGTGGTGGTGGTGGTGGTGGGGGCGGTATTGGGGCAGAGCAGGTAAAGCTGCCACTTGCAAAGCCAACATTCCATATGGGTGCCAATTGGAGTCCTGGCTGCTCCACTTCCCATTCAGATCCCTGCTAACAGATTGGGAAAAGCAGTGGAAGATGGCCCAAATGCTTTGGCCCCTGCCACCCACAAGGGAGACCTGGTTGAAGCTCCTGGCTCCTGCCTATCCCTGGCTGTTGCAGCCATCTGGGGAGTGAACCAGCAGATGGAAGTTGTCTCTCTCTCTCTCTGTAACTCTTTCAAATAAATAAATAAATAAATAAATAAATCTTAAAATAAAAAAGAATGGCAGTAAAAGAGAGGTAGTCTCTACTCTCTTAAGAAAACCTTGTGGAAAATGTTAAACACTCCTTAATCAAATCTGAAGGAACATTTAGAGTCCCAAGTTACACATGTCCCCTGGAGTCCTACTAGCAAAGCAGAGTGGTGACTCAGGTCAGACCTGAACTCCATCATTTCCTGGTTGTTACTTAAACCCCCTCTGCACCTCGGTTCCAAAAACAGTGCAGTGTTCCCTAAGTGCACCTGGGGGGATCACCCAGAGCAGCAAAATCTGAGGATGCCCAAGTCCCTTATACACAATAGCCTAGAATTTGTACATAACCTAGACACGTTCTCTGCTTTCTTTAAATTTTATGTAAATGCCCTGTAAACTGTCACACGGTGCAGTGTAGGGATTACCGACAACAGTCTATGCGTGTTCAGCACAGACCCGACTTTTCGCCCACACTCTTGGGGCAGGGAAGGGAAGAAGAGTTAGGCAGAGGCGGGGTGGCGAGGTCTAGGCTGAGTGTCCGGCACAGGGCAGGGTGCGGAGGGCCCTGATGCGAGATGCGGCTAAGGACCTGGTTCGGAAGGGACAAACCCGCCCTGGGGTTCCGCCATACCACCAGCCCGACGATCAGGACCAGCAGCAAGTAGAACGCCATCACCACGGAGTCCACGGTGTTGTAGACGCCGATGTCCACGGCGGTCCAGTTTGAAACAATAAAATGATGCTCAGGCTCCGTGAGGACCACGGAGGGCATTTCTGTGCTGACCTCCGGAGAGGCGGCAACGGCTTCAGCTCTGGCGCCAGCTCGGCCGCCGCAGGGCACCTCGGGAAGGGCCGCGGGGCAGCCTGGGCGTCCCGTCAGGCCCTGCGGCCCAGTGCCTCGCAGGTCGCAAAGGCCGCCTTCCGGATTTGCAGTAAAATCAAAGGTGTGGCATGGCTGTTAGGCCGGACCCAAGGCTGTCCAGTTGGGCGGCTGAGGCGGAACGCGGGCCGGAATAGTGATGACGTCTTTCCGAGCCATGTTGGCGTCTGCTGCGTTTCCCAAGTCAGTGACGCCGCTCCTGTCTGAATGTTTCTGCTTGGTGAAAATACTGCGTTTTCCTGACTTCCGAGTGAATTTTGCGCCCAGGTTAAGTGCCTCACTGGCTTGTCCTAGTCCCAGGCCTGTTTGGAAGACCTCAGAGGCTCCTCAGTTCTGCAGTTTTGCTCTTTCGTTGGTGATGTATGCATTTAAATCTGGGCCCGCCATTACTCCCATTGACATGTTTGTCCCTTAAATTGTGCTTATACAAATTTTTTGGAGGATAGTACTAAGAACTACTATTGTAATTAGTATGCTACAGCTTTTTCTACGTGCCATATCTCCTCCCATGCACTTTACATTCCCAGAGATTAATCCATTTAATTCTCACAGTAAGCAAATCATCCGGGTCTTTGACAAGGGCCAGGAAGACTGTTTTGGGGCCCAGTCAGTAGCTTATGGTCGGGGCAGGCGCTGTGGCGTAGATGGTTGGGCCTCAGCCTGCAGTGTCAGCATCCATACGGGCGCCGGTTCCTTGCATCCACTTGGGAGGTGAACCAGCAGATGGAAGTATCTCTCTCCTCTCTCTCTCTATCCCTGCCTTTCCAATAAACAAATAAATCTTCAAATAAAAAAAGAAATGAAAACTTTCTAAAAAGCAAAATAGGGCCAGCGCCTCGGCTCACTAGGTTAATTCTCTCCACCTGCGACGCGGGCACCCTGGGTTCTAGTCCCGGTCGGGGCGCCATTTCTGTCCTGGTTGCTCCTCTTCCAGTCCAGCTCTCTGCTATGGCCCAGGAGTGCAGTGGAGGATGGCCCAAGTGCTTGGGCCCTGCACCCCATGGGAGACCGGGAGGAAGCACCTGGCTCCTGGCTTTGGATTGGTGCAGCGCTTCAGCTGCAAGGCGCTGGCTGTAGTGGCCATTTGTGGGGTGAACCAACGGAAAAAGGAAGACCTTTCTCTCTGTCTCTCTCTCACTGTCTAACTCTGCCTGTCGAAAAAAGAAAAAAGAAAAAAGAAAAAAGAAAAAAAGAAAACAAAGAGAAATCTATGGGTTGGGCTTCCTGAGCAAAATAATGTGGCCCTCGTTTAGTACAGTGCTGCTCAATAGAAAGTCTAATGGGATTCACAGGTGTACTTTAAATTTTCTATGAGCCACATTAAAAAACAAAGTAAAAGAGGGGGTGGACATATGGCTCAGTGGTTATATCACTGGTTGGGGCTCCTGCATCCCATATTGGAGTGCCTGGTTCGAGTCTTGGTTATTCAGTTTCCTGTAGTCCAGTTTCCTGTTAATGTCCATCTTGGGAGGCAACAGATGATGGCTTAAGTGCTTGGGTCTGCCACCCATGTGAGAAGACCTGGGTTGAGTTCTGGGCCCCTGGCTGTTGTGGGCATTTGGGGAGTGAACCAATGGATGCAAGATTTCTCTCTCTCTGTTTTGCTACTTTTCAAGTAAGAATAAAAATGAAAACAAATAAATTAAAAAAAGTTAAAAGGGTAAAAGAAACATGAATATTTTATTTAACACAATTAAAAATATGTAATCAATGTAAAAATGTTGAGATTTCCTATATTATTCCCCCCCCCAATATAACTGAAGTCTGGTATCTGTTTTACACTGCTGTCACATCTCAATTCATATGGTAACTTTCTGTCAGAAATACCTGATCTGTATAGAGACTTAATAAAATTTACAGTTGAAAAAGTAGATTCACATAGCAAGTTGTTCTAAACATATTTAAAAGTTTTCTTGTAAATGAATTCAATGACAAAATTTCATTTTCCTGGAAGTCAATACCAAAACTTGACTTGACTTTGAAGCAAAAGCATTTCAGTTTAAAAATTGTGTCTGTCCAATCAAGTAAATTCACTAGCATGTATTAGCTCAATTTTTTTTTTTTGACAGGCAGAGTGGACAGTGAGAGAGAGAGACAGAGAGAAAGGTCTTCCTTTGCCGTTGGTTCACCCTCCAATGGCCGCCGCGGCCGGCGCGCTGCGGCCGGCGCACCGCGCTGATCCGATGGCAGGAGCCAGGAGCCAGGTGCTTTTCCTGGTCTCCCATGGGGTGCAGGGCCCAAGCACCTGGGCCATCCTCCACTGCACTCCCTGGCCACAGCAGAGGGCTGGCCTGGAAGAGGGGCAACCGGGGACAGAATCCGGCGCCCCGACCGGGACTAGAACCCGGTGTGCCGGCGCCGCTAGGCGGAGGATTAGCCTAGTGAGCCGCGGCGCCGGCCCTAGCTCAATATTATTAACAATGAATTCAGGGGCCAGTGCTGTGGCATAGGTAAAGCTGCTTCCTGCAGTGCTGGCATCCCACATGGGCACCGGTTCAAGACCTGGCTGCTCTACTTCTTTTTTTTTTTTCTTTTTTGACAGGCAGAGTGGACAGTGAGAGAGAGAGACAGAGAGAAAGGTCTTCCTTTGCCGTTGGTTCACCCTCCAATGGCCGCCGCGGCCAGCGTGCTGCGGCCTGCGCGCTGCGGCCGGCGCACAGCGCTGATCCAATGGCAGGAGCCAGGTGCTTCTCCTGGTCTCCCATGCAGGTGCAGGGCCCAAGCACTTGGGCCATCCTCCACTGCACTCCCTGGCCACAGCAGAGAGCTGGCCTGGAAGAGGGGCAACCGGGACAGAATCCGGTGCCCTGACCGGGACTAGAACCCGGTGTGCCGGCGCCGCAGGCAGAGGATTAGCCTAGTGAGCCGCGGTGCCGGCCTGCTCTACTTCTGATCCAGCTCTCTGCTATGGCCTGGGAAAGCAGTGGAAGGTGGCCCAAGTCCTTGGGTCCCTAAACCCATGTGGGAGACCCAGAAGAAGCTTCTGGCTCCTGGCTTCAGATCAGCACAGTTCTGGCTATTATGGCCACCTGAGAAGTAAGCCAGAGGATGGAAGACCTCTTTTTTTCTCTCTCTCTTTCTGCCTCTGCCTCTCTGTAACTCTGCCTGTCAAATAAAATAAATAAATCTTAAAAAAACACAATTACATAATTTGAAAAAATATTTTTACATTAATCAGTATCACAAAGTGTTCAGATTTTTCTTGTTTTTTTTTTTTTTTTTTACATCCAATTTACATAATACAGTCAGTTGCAGTGAAAAATCTTTGGCATATTGACTCATTTTGGGAGAATGTGTAAAAATCATTATTGATGTATTATGAAAAGTTTCAATTTCACCATAAGTTTTTATATATGGGTGGTTATGTCACAAAGTTTTCCTTTCGTTGGTTCTTTTAACTTAGCTTATTCATAGACTGTACATATTAGTGAGAAAATATAAGTATAGAGTGCCATTAAAAGAATTAATTGCCTTCTGCTTCTTTCAACAGTTCTGTAAGTGGTGAAGATTCATAGAACTTGCACATAAATACTGAATGATCTTCACAAGCATACCCACTCATGCTTTTTTTTCATAGTTTGCTGTAAAAACTGATTTTTAGAAAGATTTATTTATTTGAAAGGCAGAGTTACAAAGAGAGAAGGAGAGACACAGGGAGATCTTTCATCCACTGGTTCACTCTTCCAATAGCCATGATATCAGGGTTGGGCCAGGTGAAATGCAGCAGCCTAGAACTCCATCCGGGTCTCCCACAAGAGTGACAAAGGCCCAAGCACTGTGGCTACCTGCCATTGCCTTCACAGTCATATTTGCTGGAAGCTAGGTCAGGAGTGGAGCTGTCAGGACTGGAACTGGCACTCTGATGTGGGATGCTGTTGTCCTGACCATGGGCTCGACCTGCTGTGCCACAGTGCTGGCCCCTACTTACACTATTAATTGAACAATATTTCTTTTTTTAAAAAAGATTTATTTGAAACTCAGAGTTACACAGTGAGAGAAGGCGAGGCAGAGAGAGAGAGAGAGAGAGAGAGAGAGAGAGAGAGGTCTTCCATCTGTTGGTTCACTCCCTAGTTGGCTAAAACAGCCAGAGCTGTGCTGATCCGAAGCCAGGAGCCAGGAGTGTCTTCCAGGTCTCCCATGCAGGTGCAGGGGCCCAAGGACTTATGCCATCTTCCACTGCTTTCTCAGGCCACAGCAGAGATGCATCAGAAGTGGAGCAGCCAGGACTAGAACTGGTTTCCATATGGATGCTGGCATTGCAGGCAACTTTACTGGCTACACCACAGTGCTGGCCCCAGTTGAACAATATTTCTTACTGCATGACAACTAAAATGAAAGAAAGGTACTTGCAAAACTTCAAATTTTGAATCCATTAATAATTAATTAAAAGCATAGCATATAATGTATTAAAAGTAAAAATATAAAGTAAACATATAAATATGAACAATTATTTGAAATTCATTTGAAAAAATTTTCATTTTTTGTAAAATATCTTTTAAAGCATTTTTCTCATGATTTTCTAAGAAATTTCATGACTGCAATGTTAATTCCATTTGTCATTTTTCCACCTGAAATGTTTTTCTTTTTGGTACAAGAATACAAGCTGCTTTAGATATGGCCTAAGTTACTGACTCAAATTCTGTTAAAAATTATTACAGTATTCTGTTGGACATTTATTTTTAATTTCAAGCAACTAATCTTATAATGTTTTAAAACCAATGAAAGGAAACTTTTGATCAAATTTACTATGGAGTGGTTGAAAGTTCCTCTTAATACTGTTTATTTTATTGTCTTAAAATTTTTTGGCATATCCAACAAGAGCTGTGCTATTGCGTGACACATATAAATGTTATATCCTTTAGGTGAATTGGCCTTTGTTATAAAATGACCCTACTTGTACCTGGTAATAGTCTTTGTTCTGAAATCTATATTGGGTTAACATGACTTTCAACTTTCATTGTTTAGTGTTAGTAAATCTTTTTTCTACTATTTTAGCCTATTTATGTCTTTATATTCAAAGTACATTTCTTGTAGCTAGCAGGTGCTTGATCTTAATTTCT